GGCTGACCGTGCGTTCCTTGACCAGAACCCTGAGGGTGTGCCACTGCGTGAGCTGCCGCTGGATGATGATCCGAAGTTCCTTGCGATGGAGCAGGAGCGCAAGCGGCTGATGGACGAGGACCCACGCAAGAATGCGCAGAAGATTGCTGATTTGGAGGAGGAAATGAATGATCGCGCCCACGAGCTAGCGAAAGATCTTTTGCGAAAGGAACGATACTACCTTGACCAGAACCCTGAGGGAGTGCCGCTGGATTGTCTACCATTGAATGATGATGCAACTGTTAATATGCTGGAGAAACAGCTACGAGAGTTTAATAAAGTTCCTCTCGAAGAACGTGGTGGTGATGTGGCTGATATACGTAATGCTATTGCGGAACGGGTTTACGAGATGGCCCAGGAATATCGTGATGAAGAGAGAGGGTTTCTTGATGAAATGCCTGAAGGTATTCCATTGAGTGAAGTTCCTATAGATGAGGATAAAGTGTTTATGGAATTGGAGGATAAGCTTCGTCAGTTAAAAAAGAATCCCAAGCAAAATGCTGAAGCAATAAAGGATCATCAATACGCAATGAATAATCGTGTTCACGAGATTGCAGCTGATATGCTTGCTAAAGATCGTGATTATCTTAATCCTGAGCCACAGGGTGTACCACTTGCTGATCTTCCACTTGATGATCCTTTGTTTCATGAAATGGAACTGAAACGAAGACGGTTGATGAAAGAGCCTGAGAAAAATGATGTGGACATTGCGGAGCTGAATGATATGCTGAATGATCGTGCAGACGAACTAGCAAAGCTTCTTCATGCAAAAGAACGTGCTTTTCTAGATCCTGCTCCTGAAGGTGTGCCGTTAGAGCGTTTGCCGTTAGATAAAGATCCTGTTGTACATGAGTTAGAGGCACAACGCCGAAAGTTACTACAATCATCTCCGAGGAATGATGCTGCTATTCGAGATATTGAAGATAAAATTAGGGATCGTGTTCGTGAACTTGCGTTGAATATTGTTGGATGGCAGGATGTAGAATTTCATGAGGCTAACAAAGATGTTGCAGAGGAATGGCCACGTATTTGTGAATTATATCCAGAAGGTATTCGTGAGGCTGTTGTACCCGAAAGAACCCAACCATCCGATGTGTGTTCGGCTCCTCGTGAGCTTGGGTACTTGGCACCGTTTATTGCTGCAATGAGTTTGCATCCTCCTCTTATTCATCGTTTATTTGACTCAAAGATGCACCCTGTTAATGGACCATATTCTTTTACGTTTTTCGATCCTAATAGTAATCCAGTACGTGTTGATATTGATGATCGTGTCCCTTGTGATGCAAACATGGAACCTAAATTTACGCGAGTGCCACATCGTTCGTGGTATCCTTTACTTCTTGAAAAAGCCTATGCTAAATTTGTTGGTGGATATTCTAGACTTGATCAATGTACACCACATGAAACACTTCGTGATTTAACAGGTCGTCCTGTGACGCATATTCCATTTGAAGATAAACGTGCAGAAGGAATAAAAATGGGCGATTTTAGATCAGTTAAATTCTGGCGTGGTATTCTGTCTGATCTTTCTAAGGGTGATATTATTACATGTATGTCTAACAAAGAAGTCCCGGATGGCGTTCACTCTCAATGTAGTTACGCTCTATTTGACGTGATTGAAACGGTAAAGGAATCTAATGATCCGGCCGATGTTGTTATCAAATTACATAACTGCTATTACGATGGCACAACCTATGATGGTCCACTCAACCGTAATGATCCAAGCTGGACAGAGAAATTAAAGGAAATTTGTGGCTTTGAACCGTCACAAGGTGAGTTCTTGTATTTGCCGTTACCTGTATTCCTGCGTAATTTTTCAAGTATGCAACGATGTCACATTAATTGTGGTGATCGTCTTACTGCTGTCGGTGAATGGGATAAAGATTCTTGTGGAGGTAATCCAAAGTTCACATCATTCCGTAATAATCCGATTTACTTGGTAGAAAACAAAACGGCACGCCCAGTGACAATTCTGGTAGAATTACGTCATCATTCACCAGTATTCTATGATGCCGATAATGTTGGTCATTACCATCAAACCGGATTGGCTTTGCTACAACATGATGCATCTGCAATGATTGTAAGTGGATTATTGACAAATACAACTCACAAATTTCTTCAGAAAGGAATTATGTTGGATACTCGAGAAGTATGTTCAAGAATGGAGGTTCCTCCTAATTCCATTTGTTATGTGGTTCCCTACACCATAAAGCGTGGGAGCTTGGGTAAGTTCAGTATTTCCCTTTACCCTGGTTTATCAGGTGCTACTTTGATGCCTCTACGTCCTTTATACGCTACACATGTGACCACTAGTGTTGATGTTGTTCTCAAACCAGGTAGTCGTGACGGTAAGCGCATTGATTTTGTGGTAAAAGAACCATGCGATTCCCATCTCTTACTCAGTCAAACCAAGGTTACTGACCCAGCTTCAATTAAAAAAGGTGATGTTCTCGCTGAGGATGACGTTTTAATGATGATTTATGATGAGAATATGTCCCGTTTAGGAACAACGGGTGATGCGACAAGCGCACGTGAACACTCCCTTGCTCTCCAGCTTCCTACTGCTGGACGTTACACTATTCTAATGGGTTGCCCGAACAAACCAGTGACTGGTGACTGTCCATGTACACTTACCATTTACACACCTAAGAGAGCCGGGGCGAAAATTGTGCCACTTCCACCAGGGGGCACACATTCAATGATGCCGGTGCTTGCACTCCCGCAGGTTCCACGAAGTGCGCCTCAAACGAACCGAAAAGAAAAGGAAGAAAACGGTAACGGTGATACCTCAGCAATGCGGAATCGTCGAAGTGATTCGCAGGGAATGTTACTGCCGGCACCACCAAAGAATGGCAGACCATCGAAACCTAAGTAAGATGGGAAGAGTAGGGAAAGTGGGGGTATAATCAGAACGAAAGGCAAAACCAAAAAAAAAAAAAAAAGCAAAGCAAAGCAAAGCAAAGCAAATCAAAGAAGAATAAAAATACCAGGTGTAGGATGTATGATTCATCGCATTGCATCCCATGTCCTTTTTATCTGCTTCTTTTTTCCCCTTAATTTGGGAAGTTTTAATTGATAGTAGTAGGGCTGTAGAAAAAAAGAAAAAAAAAATGACAAGAAAGAAACACTGATGCTTTTTCTATATTGAAGCATTATGACACTATTCTTCTCGTTTTAATCACTTGATCTAGGTGACCTCTTATATTTATCCTCGGTGTTGTAAATGAGTTGGGTCACTGGGATCTAAGATATTTATGAGAAGTGACTTAAAGAATAAGAGAAAAAAAGATAAATGAAATATTTCAGACAATAAAGCTGAAACTGATCATAGGTACTCCTTTGTTTTTTGATACAGTGATGCCAAAAGTAGAAATTTCTTTTCTTTTAGTCTCTCCATCCCTTTTTTTTTTGTTTTTTTTTGTCTTCTTTTTTCGTAGATACTTCATCGGGAGAAGGGGTGGGATTTATTTCATCTTCTCATTCATTTTTTTTTTTTTTTCATGCTTTTTGTATTTATTATTTGCTACCCTGAATACAGAGAACTTGCGATCATTTGATTTTCTTTTCTTTTTTTTACTGTAATTCTTATCATTATCATTATTGTTATTATTCTGTGTTAATCTGCGCCCATCTTGACTTGTGTCTTATTTTTCTGTATCAATGATTTGTAAATTTTCTGCTACGCAAAACCACGAGATCAAGAGTGGGCACAGGGGGGAATAAAAGAAGGGAAAGAAGTACTGGTGTTGATGGAAGCATGTACGCCTTTAATCCACTTCTGTTTCTCAGTTTCCTTTCATTATTTCCTTTCGACGTATCTATCTCTGTTTGGTACTTTTCCCTTTCTCATTCACTCTATTTATTTCTGTTGGGTGTATGTTTCTGTGAAAAGAGGTAAGATGTGTGGGGACTTGCGTAGTTTGCACCTTTTGCAAGTAATCCAGCTTTCTACGCAATCGGGGAAATCCTCTTGCTTCTTCCTCCTTTCTCCCGCAAACAGAGAACACACATATCAACAGTAAAAGGAGTGTTGAAAAATTTCATTTTGTGTAATAACAAAGAAAATAAAAGGAAAACGCAGGAAACTGTGAGGATGTAAATATCTAAGATGCAAACAAACATGACAAGAAAGAGTTTCCTTATCTGTGAACGGGGGTGAGGGATGTTAGGGGAGTCACTTTCAGACATTTTTCCTTTCTTGTAAGCGAAAAATGCTCGCCTACAATGTTATCTGCAGCCCCTATCACAGTATGGGATCTAACAAAGTAAGACTTGTCAACAGGAAAAACAAAGGGGGAAAAGGGTTAAAAAAATAAGTATGGAAGGGATTAGAAAAAAAAAAAAAAAAAAAAA